AAAAATGTCTTTGAATTCTTTCAGCAGGAGGTGCAGATCTGTACCCAATTAGCATGAGCAGCCATCCCAACCTTAACTGTACGCTCTGGACGGATGTCTTCACGAGGTATATCAATATGGTCTCCAGCCGGTTGGGGACGAAGCTCCGCTGATCGCTCCCCGGTCAGTGATTGCTATTTTTTCTCTTTCTTCACGTCCACCAGCAGCGGATCCTTTCTTATCTTTCCGGCTGCTGATGGGGCTGGGGTTGAGTCGGCATCCTTGACATTGTCAAGGTCTATTGGTTCCTGCCCTTGGCTGTCTGGGGCCACATTATCCTTGACGGATGAGAGGTAGCACTCCTGGGCCGTCTTCTGATCCCCATTCAAGGAACCAATAGAGTTGTCATCCCTCTCATACTTGATAAGCATGAGAGAAGGGATGATTACAGCCTTGGCTTCGTTGAGGGTTGGCCAGCCTGGAATAATGTTATAGGTGGTCAGCTCCTCAACAACCAAGAACTTGACGACCAGGTGTCATCCTTTTCCTTTCTCACCCAGCCGGATTGGTAAATCAACCCTTCCGACTGGGTAAACCATTCCACCCCCAAAGCCAACCAAGGGGTGGGTAACCAAATGCATGTTGCTGACGTTATATTTCAGCTTTTGCAGGCACCGGAGACTGATGATGTCCGATGATCTGCCGGTGTCAATAAGGATTCGTCCAACCAGCTGGTTGGCAACTTTACATTCAATGAAAACCGGGTCGTCATGCGGACGGCGAACGCTGCCCCTGTCCTTCTCAATGATAAGAACGTCTGGAAAGGAGGAGCTAGCAGTCGCCTGCTCATCATCATCTGTGTCCATCTTTCGAAGATGGCTCTTGGTGCCCCGGATGGTAGGGCCACAGCATGAGAACCCGCCTGCTATGGTGTAGACCGGCTCCTTATCAGTGTGCGAACTACTAGCAGGATGGGGTGTCTTAGACGACTGCCCCGGATTCTTCTTATTAGTCCCTTTGGACTTGGAGATATAGGACTTCAACATCCCTTTGTCAACCAGACGGTCCAACGCCCATTGAAGGCTAAAGTAGTCGTTGGTGTTATGGCCAACTTCCTCATGGTATTGGCAGAATTTATTTTTTTTCCTTGATTGAATGGAACTTTTCATTGGATTCGGCTTCTCTAGAGACAGCCGGTCCTTGATCTCCATGAGGATGGAGTTGCAGTCCTTGTTAAACTCGTACTTAGGAACGTACAGTTTAAATTCTTTCTTCTTCTTCTGAGACGGCTGATCAGAATCACTAAATGCCCAGATTTCTTTTCTTTTCTTGCTCTCTTCTTTCTTCTTGGCCGGCTGAGCAGACCGGCTGTCTTTCTGTTTGTCAGACTTCTTAGAGTCCGACAGGTTACCTGGCGAGCAGAGGTCGGTTTCTTGAATATAGCTTTCTGCCTCCCTCAAGGCCGCCTGTAAAGTGAAAGCCCCTTTTCTGACTAGGTCGAACTTAAAAGTCAACCCGTCTCTCAGACCCTTGAAAAATTCTATAAAAGCTACCTCGTCAGACAATCCTTGAATCTGAATTCTGATCAGATTGAACCGCCTTACATAGGAGCGCAATCCTTCTCTCTCCCCCTACTTAATGGTGCTCAAGTCAAGACTTGTTTTCTTCGCAGGGATGTTCATCGAGAAGTTGGAAGCAAACAGGAAGGCAAGCTTCCTGAAACTATCAATGGACCCGGTGGCAGGTTGCCGAACCATTGTTGGGCAATGCCCTTCAATGTAGCCGGGAAGCATCGACACCAAGTGGCATTATCCAACCCTTGTAAGTACATGAGGTTGGTGTAAGCCATGAGGTGATCTTCCGGGTATGTGGTACCGTCATAGGTACCTACCAACACATTTTTAACCTTGGTCGGCTGTGCCGCCTCGGTTATCTCCCGGGTGAACGCAGAAGGTTGTTCACCAAGGCGGAGCAGACGAAGCTGCCAGTCCAGAGGTTGGACGTTGTTGTATCTCGCCTGGCCTCTAAAGAGGGTCGGCTGCATGAAATAGAGCGAATACAGACCATAGACCTGAGAAGGTACATACGGCGCAGTCTCAGTCATCTGAGGACCAGAATGGACGGTATTACCGCCTGTTTGGCTCTCATGCAAGGACGGTACATTCCCTGCAGAAGTGTTGTTGAAGCTGTCTAGAAAGTTCGACGTAGAGGCCGACTCAGACAACTGCTGGTTTCTCTTGCGGGTGATGATCTCCCAGGCGTCAAGAGTTGATTTTTTTCTCCCCACTGGCTGTTGAGTCCGGCGGGGTTTGTTGGCATTCCTCTTAGGCAGAAGAATTTTGGACCAGTTAATGGTCCCGGCTGCCTTCTCCTTTGGACGAGGAGTCGGCTGCCGATCTCTGACTGACTTCCCCTTCTCTAGAGGAGTATTTTTTTCCGACTGACCCCTACTTGGGCAAGCCTGGCTCTTAGAGATCAGATCTTTAATTTCACCCTTGAAACTTGTCATGAACTTCATGAGTTCGTCTCGGGTGACGGGAGCTGATCCACTTGATGTATGGGTTTCCCCTTTCCGCTGCCCAGGGGGTCGATTTGTATCCGCCTTGCTGGCACCCCGCTCCAGAGTGTCTCTAGGCCGGATGCGTTTGGTTATCAGAGAGCCATCATCGGCTTTATAAGTTTCAACCTGAGGATCTTCATCCTCTTGGTCTGTGAAAATTTCCGGGTCGTCGCCTAGACGCTTAGGAGGTGGTACAGACTCTTGAACCATCTTCGAGGTACTCTCCCCACAGACGGCGCCAAATGTTTTGGGTGTTTTTGTCCCTCGGGAGAGTTACGCCACAAAGATTGGTCCGGCTGAGCTGTACCTGCAAAAACAACGGAGACTCCGGGTGGTTGGAGCTCCACCTCCGAAGATCAAGTTAGTAACTTGAAAGAGAATAAAGAGTACGGAAATTTAGGTGGGCATCTGCTTGGATTCCAAGCTCAGGTGTTTCTCTGATGAGAGAGAATGTAGTGTAATAAATGATTCAATGTGTCCCCAAAATGGGAAAATATCTCCCTATTTATAGGGTTGTTGGAGAATGTGTCCATATCTAGGTCACTTGACCTAGATTTTAATGGACTGCGCCGTTTTACGGCGCTCCTAGGGATTTGGGCCCTTGAAGGCCGCCATTTCAGAGGCTTATCTAAGGGGGCCACGTGTCAAGAGGATATTGGGCCACTTGGGCCATCCTGAGCTCACCACGTGGCCTCCTCTCATTGGTCAACTTGTTTAGGGTATTTTTACCCTAAACACTAGGTGAAAATGGTCCATTGGAAATTGTTAGTCATAAATAATATCAACCACAATCAAAACAAAGAACACATGTTAAGGTTAGCACAAAAATCACACAAGAAACTAGGAAGAAGACTAGAATTCTAGAAGAGTTAGGACTCATGGATATAAAAAAAGTAATAAATAAATAAATAAAAATCTATAATCCTATGTTATACAATTTGACACGGATTAAAGGACTTGGCTAGGACTAGCTTGACACGAAAAGATAAAAAAAAAATTAAAAAAAAAATAAATTTGATGCTAAAAGGACACCTAAATTGGACTGGCTATACTATATTAGTTATAAGGTTTTATCTGTGACTCTGATTTGAACGAAACCAACTCCAAATGAAAGATAAAACTCAGGGGGCTACAGATCCATTGTTTGCACAACACGTAACTCTTTCTAGAAAACTGGCTATGACCAAAACATGTTGACGCTTATACAGGATACGGGAATTAAAATCCGGGTTGACTCAAATTTAAAAAGTGCTATGACTCGACTCTAAAAAAATAAAAAGGTTTGATAAGAAAAAAAATAAATAAAAAAAAGTCAATAAAAAAATGCTCATATAAGCACATCGTCAAGCATGATGCAATGAAGTTCGCAACCTAAAGTCAAGATCTATGTTCTACTATGGTCAAACTTTTGGGTGTCAAAGGGTACCATGGTTAAGAGTTTGGACGTTTTAACGAGGCATCCTCCCTTGAGGATGAATGCCAACGGGCAGCTCCGCGAGTTCGTGATGAAATTGAACTCGACTCCATGGTTTGGGTAGATTTAAAAACTTGGATGAACCCTTATTGCCATGAGCGTTTTCGGGTTGATAGAGCTTAAATCTTCCGGGCTAGCCACATACGTAGAACACGTACTATTGTGGAAAAAATGGAAAACTAAAATGCATATGCATATGTTCAATGTCAATTAAATCACAGGAATACAATTCAAGAATCTATCAAGTCTCATCCACTCATCTCAATTAAATACCGACACTCAAATCGATAAATAACCAAGAATCCTCCCAATGGAGTCACCAAATTGTAGGCGTCGTTTGAAGTGCGCCTACATTAAGTATGTGATGAATATGTTTGGCACTCATAAGAAGTGGGAATTGACATATAACGAAAGCCAACAACGATTGACCCGTGAGGGTTACACCCCATTTATAATCCATGAGATTACTAACACCATATGGTTCGGAACCACAAAATGAGGATCGCGGATGATGGTACGAAGTGAGTCGTGGAGTCACGTTCGCCCGTATTGGCCTCTACTCGATTCTTATAGTAAAAAGTGATTCATGCGATCTCAAAGGCATGCAAACAAAATATTCAATTTGATTCAAACTATTATTATGCTAAATTGGTTGAATATTAATGCAACATATAATTCTAAAATATTAGTGATCACTTAAATTAATAACAAGATTAAAAAGGGACCTAAACCGGTTGTCCAACTTATCTTATTAGGCGTGATTTTCAATTACATATTCCCTTTAACACGCTATATAGTGATCATAAATAATAATAATAATAATAATAATAATAATAATAATAATAATAATAATAATAATAATAATAATAATAATAATAATAATAATAATAATAATAATAATAATAATATTGGAAGCAATGTAAGAATAAATCTAACAATATAAAATCATTAGAAAAATAATAGAAATAAAAGGAACATAATTCTTACTTTGATTTTGTTTGCTTGCAACTATAAAACAATAAACGAGTTAGTAACTTCAAGGGAATAAATAAAACAATAATTAAATTAAATTAAATAGAGTTCATTTGGGGTCAAACCCTCAAACAGTTCTACCTTTCACGCCTTGGTTTAAGGACAGAACCTCGAGTAAATTATGGACTCCTTAGAGTGCTTAAGGAAGGAATTTTTACAGAACAAGGTAGGCTAGTGTTTAGGCTAGAACATAAAAGAGAGAAAAGAGAATTAATTGATGCCCCAAACATCATAAATGAGGGGGTATTTATAGGGAAAATGAGTAGAGGGAACACAGAACCCAAAAAATAATAAAACCCAAAAAACATTGCCGTAACACGGCAAATAATGTCGTGACATGGCAAATAATTCAGTGACATGGGGAAACCTTGTGTGATGCAGGACATTCTGGAGTGACGCGGGAAATAATAAACCTACGAGAGTTAAAAACGCGTGAAGGGTTTACGCGGAGAAGACACGGAGATGTCCCGTGTCATGGAATTGGAACCGTGTCGTGACACGGGAGAATATGCCGTGGCGCGACAATATTTGCCGTGACGAGGCACAGTTCGTCGTGACTCAGCAGACTCTGCATCAAATGCATTTTTACCCTAATTACGTTCAGCCTTTTAATGTGTCGTTTCATAATTTCGTGCTATTTCAGGTTTATTATTTATTAATTGGGCTAAATAATAAATAATGTGAAATGAATAAAAAGGTTTGGGCCAAAATAAAAATTGAACTATGCTTTGTCGAAACATTTAGACTGATCTGTTGACTATTTTATGAACTGAATTTGATTTAATTTTAATTTTAAGCACTCCCGGGATTAAATACTGAATCCGACCAATAATGGAGGTGAAATATCGTTCATCATCGGGTTTTATTTCGGGGAGACATTTTTAGGTGTCTACACGTGGCTGCTGCCCAATTTTCCGTAAACAACAAAAAAAAATCTTTTCTTTAAAAAATTTAATTTAATCCTAGATCTAGTTATTGAATTTGAGTTTTTTTAGTAATATTATGATGTTTGATTACAAGAAGCATGTAATTTAATTTTTAGATTTTAATTCTAATTAAAAAAAACCACAATTTTGAAACCTTAGATTCATATAAGATGGTTTAAACCTTTGATTTAAGTGTTTTAAAGCCTAAATACAGCAAGTTTTCATTAAAATATAATGCTGGAATTTTTGGTAGTGCATTAAAAATTAAGTTTCTTTAAAGAATTTTAATCACCCATTAATTGAGATTAAAGTATGATGTTTTAAATATAATTTCAACTTATTTTAATCAAATTATGAGGGGTTTTATTATAGTATATATTGTTGGAAATTTATTTAGAGAGGATTTTAATACCCTTCTATGATTTTAAATTGTATTTGGAGACTTCGAAGTGAGTGATTTCTATTAGTCGTGGCGACATTAAAATTGTATTCAAGGTACGTTCGCGTACTTAGCATAATTTTGATGATTTTGCTAAATGGTTTAATTTATTACAAGTAGTATCGTGCTAAATTTGGAATGGAAATTATGATTTGGTTGTTATTGGTGATTGAATTATGAAGCATGATTTATTTGTGATGGATTAATGGTTGGGAAATAATGGTTTGGAATGTTGAATATGAACCACACTTTTATTTATGGCATGATAGAAAGCATGTTTAATTAAACTAAATTTTTAATTTTATTTGGAATATTAAAAGAGAATTTTATTATGGATCATATAATTTTTATTGGGGCAATTAGCTAAATTGGTATAAAAGTTAGCACCCTTGTGACATATTGGTATAAAAGTTATCGTCGATGACATATTAAAATAAAAATTAGCAATTTGTGACAAATTGGTATAAAAGTTAGCCAATAGCGACATATTAGTATAAAAGTTAACAAATTGCGACAAAATGGTATAAAAATTAAAAAGATGTGACATTTCACCCTTCTTTTCTTGCCGAATGTGTTTTTTTTAAATAAAAAAATAAATAAATTTGTTGTTAATTCTCATTTTATGATAAATAGTTCTCTCCTTCATCCTCATTCACCTAATATAATCGATAAATAATAACAAAAAAATCGTGAGTTCAAAAAAAATCTCAAAAAATGAATGGAAAGAGAAATTTTTAAAATTTAGTGTCTCAAAAGTGAAAATTGTCCTGTAATAAGTTGTAATATTTATGAAGTTGGGAGAAAATATATTTATATAAAATTGAATATTTGAAACAAAATAGCTCGATATAATCTTAAAGTATTTAATCAAAGAGTTTGAACTTGTAATTTTTCTTGATTAATTCTTCTGCATAATCTAGTATATTTCTCTATATATTCCTTTTTTCTCTTTTTTTTATTCTTTAACTATTTTGGGAGCTTTAAATAGTTTCCAAAAATAAATATTTAAAGAAAAAAAAAGGTAAAGGAAAACAATAGATTTAAGCTACAACAAAAGAGAATTATCTTTTGTACAATATACGCTTATTATTCTAAGAAAAAGGAGGGTTGTGATCGCTAATAAACTTTTATACCAATATGTCATCACATGGTAACTTTTTTACTAATACGTCATCGTGACTAACTTTTATGTCAATCTGTCACAACTTGCTAACTTTTATACCAATTTGTCGCCGGCTATAACTTTTATACTAAAATGTCACAAGGGTGCTAAGTTTTATACTAATTTGGCTAATTAGCCATTTTTATTGGTGCTTTATGCATGAGAAATGAGCTAGGTAAGTGTCCATGTACACGATAATTAAATTTTATGTTGGTGCCTTAGTGCACTTAAGGTGTTTTTAACATTGAGAGATAGGAATTTTTGCTCATTAAGCGTTTAAGGTGTCTTTGACAGCGAGTTAGATTTAAAAAGGGTTCAACATTAAATATTATGTGGTCACTAATTATTTAAGAATTAAATTAAAGTGTTTAATTGTTTGAATAATCATGATGTTTGATGTTGTTATGAGTCAGAGTCATCACCAAGTTAATAAATTGTAAAGAACGTAAAGTGAAAGAGATTACGCACCAAAACTCTTGGAACGTATATACCTTGTGTATGAACATATAGGGGGAGTTATGCGACTTTATATTTGACCATAACTTCTAATGGAGTACAAGACAATGTACATTTCTTTTATTATTATGCGCAGGAATTCCGCCACTTACGAGTGGTTCTATTATACTGGCACGGTTAGCTCCCGCGTTAGTACCCCTTTATTGGGGCAGGTTAGGAGGGAAACACGTTCGATGCGTAATAAAAACTAAATAAATTATTTAGTTACTTAGTTGAAAAGTTTTGTTGAATGTTGTATGCTTGAAAAACCGGTGCAACAAGGTAAGTTGTGTGTTGATAGGTAAATGCAGGTTAGTGTATTTAATTACGCTTATGTACTTAGCTTTGCTGATTGTGTGTTTGTGTGTTTGTTAGGCTTGTCTTTACCTTGGCCCTATGATGACCCATTTTTAATGGATTGTAGTGGAAACAAGTAGAGAGATGTTTTTCAGGTGATTAACATATTCATGATGGACATGAGTGAAGAGCGAATCATGCTAGTTTCCATAAGTAATCGATGTGTTATTGCTTTTTTTATTTTATTATATTTCTATTGCAAGACTAACGTAAAGGTTTTAATTGAATTGGCTTGTTAAATGCCTACAATGGTTCCAAGTTGTAGGTTTGACTTTGTGTTTACTTTGGTTTGACTTTACTTTCGTGAGTTGACTTTTTAAATTGAGTCATTTAAAAATATTTTAAAGGAGGGTTTTCCACTGTGTGTCTTTGATAGTTGTCTTAGCCGTTTTCACGGTGACGGTAATATCTTAGATGCTGCTATTAAAAGTTTTAAACAGGGCAAAACAAGTATTTTAAAAGAAAGGAATTTTTAAGATGTTACAAACACCGACTACTTGATTTTGACCTAGTTTTGATAAGGTTGCTTGTTTTCACCCTATTCTCCACATTCATACCATCTATCCTTGGAACATCTACATCCATCATACTACCATCCCTCTTATTCTTTTTCCCTTACTCTGCATTTTTGTAACTTGTGGGATCCACAAAGCCACCAACCCCCTCATAATTTTCCATCATCCTACCATGCGTCCCCCAAGTCTTACCACGTACTCCCTCACCTTCTAGACCCCCACTATTCCCACCATCGATCCATCAACATCCCTCTTGGCCTTAAAATCGCCCTGTTGCTCATGGGATCAGTAATAATAGTTAATTAGGCTTCTCTTTCTTTAGGGGCTACTGCTTTTTCATCCTTATTAGGTGTCAATGAAAACAATAATCTTCTTGATGTTGCATCTCCTTTTCCACACTCATCCTTTTCCCTCTTTACAAACATTTTTTGTGTTTATTTTGAGGGAGATTACTTCAGCTATGTACCGTATTGATACACTATTCCCCGCTCTAAATTACCCATATTCATCTTCTTCAAGCAACCCCTTTTAGTATGTCGAAGATCCTACAGGGAAAAAAAAAAAAAAAAAAAAAAAAAAAAAAAAAAAAAAACTCTACTAACCTCTCGTAATTCACATCAATCCATGTCACTCCATTCTGTCCAACAACCAGAAATACTCCTCATCTTAATGGTTTCTTCACAATCCCCTGTTTGCTGAGGTAGCTTGGTTTTCTTTTGAAATTGTCATTGTCTTTTAAGAGTCCTCACACCCATATATAATTTTCTCATTTGTAATCGATGCTAAGGGTAGAGGGAAGTAATAAAAGAGGAAAGTGCGGCCTACACTTGCATCGGGAAATGAAACTATATTCTATTGCTTGGCTACTAAGCCAAGAGAAAACTAATAAAACCGTAAAGAAAGCTTAATGAAAATGAAAATGTTTTGTGGTAATTGATTCTTGATGTTTTCCTTTTAAAATCCTCTTATTTTTATAGGCAAATGTCATGCGGTTTTACGTACAACTCACTCTCATAACCGATCGTTGGTTATGACTCTTGGTGCCAATCTTCTTTGAATTTAAACATTATTAACTGCTTAAA